TTAACAAGTCTATTTATGTTCCGATATTTTCATCTACAAAATCTTCCAGAAATTTTTGATAAATATTTTTTAACTAACAAAGAAATCCATAATTATAACACAAGAAACGCATCATTGCTCCACAAAAGTTGAACTAGAACAAATTATAAAAAACACACGGTCGGTAATAACGGCATCAATGTGTGCATGGAATAATCTTCCGACGCAATATAAGCAAATTAGATCTCTTCCAATATTTAAATCTACAATGAAAATATATTTTCTTCTGTTAAATTCAAATAAGTAGAATTCTTGGCACAAAGTGAAAAGCCAAATAGTTGTTATAGTCTGATATATCTTTTGCGCACTTTCCTTATTGTAAATATATCACCGTAATTCCTTTGAAAACAATTGGACTGGTATTAACTTTTAATATTATCATTATTTGAATTGTAACTAGGGACCTTAAACAAAAGCTTTATGCCATGGTTTCTAGAAAGTTCCTAGCCCTACTATTGTAAATATTTTCTATTTAAATTGTTAATTTTATAAACTGATTTGGGCGAATATATTAAATAATAAAAAATAATTAAAAATAACATATTAACACGCCTACAGAAGCTTTATGTGTGCATCCGTTTCACAACTGAATTTTTAATCTACACAATTACAGCTTTTTGTGTGCATCCGTTTCACGGCTGAAATTTTAATGTTAGAGAAATGTTAGCTACAGAAGCTTTTTGTGTGCATCCGTTTCACAACTGAATTTTTAATCTACACAATTACAGCTTTTTGTGTGCATCCGTTTCACGGCTGAAATTTTAATGTTAGAGAAATGTTAGCTACGGAAGCTTTTTGTGTGCATCCGTTTCACAACTGAATTTTTAATCTACACAATTACAGCTTTTTGTGTGGTTCCGTTTCACAGCTGAATTTTTAATGTTAGAGGAATGTTAGACTGTTATCTACAAGTTAGTAATATTAGCTGAATGTTAGCTGAATGTTAGTAAATTTGGAAAAAAGTTAGTACTGTTAGCTGAATGTAGTTGAATGCTAGTATTTTCTTTGGATAAATCTACTGTATCTACCGCTGAAACTGTTCTATACGAACTCTCTTGCTCCCCATTCCCTTGTCTATTACACCATAGCCAATCTCGTTCCCCGATCCTGCGATCCTCGGGAAGGAAACGACGGCTCTGGGATAATCCGTTGCCGAAAGCCAGGAATTCTGTCTAAGATTGAACTGCACATTCCATATCAACGGCCAATCAGATTACTCCCTGAAACGGATTATCCCAGAGCCTTCGTTTCCTTCCCAAGGACCGCAGGCTCAGGGAACGAGATTGCACCATAGCGCGCATGTCATCATTTTCAGGTCAGTGTGAACGCCTGAGTAGGCGTCTTGTTCAATATATATTGCTTCTTCTCAGTTCCATTCACAGCTCACTAATCGCTGCGAGTAATCACTGCTTGATATAATTTGTGCTGTTCACTGTAGTTCTAGGCCTATTTGTTTTTAATGCCCGCAGCAATCCCTACCTTGCAGGTACCCTAGTATAATAATAGTTAATATCTAACGTCCCAATCATTAAAACGAGGCTCTATGGCAAGGTGACGTGGTACTTTCGCGGTAGGGTGCATTAATTGACATTAGGATTTTAGATATCTACACACGATGTAACTAAAGGTTGGAGGGATTTGTAGATGGAACTATACCCAGGAAAAAATGCAATGGCAGGAATCAAATTCTCGGCCCTACGATTCGGATGCAGCAGTGAGCGCTCTAACCAACAGAGCTGCACATGCATGCTAGTTGTCAATTATTCTGCTTCCTTACTAGTTTGCATATTATCGATATATAAGCCGTTAAAATATGGCTACTGCATCCAGTAAACAGTAAATTACATTACGCGATGCAGTGAATCGCACAACCAGAGAATACGGCAGGTCGTTAGAAATTTGCCTCAGTTGCAAAACATAGTCTATAGAAATATTTATGGAAATGTTTGCCTGGTGTAAGTTATTGCCTATTCTGAATTTTCTTTGTTCCTAGTGGTATAGTAATGAGGTATTCTTATAATAATAATAATAATAAATAGAGTTAAATAGACAAATGACGTGTAAACTAACCTCTGTATACGAATATTAATGGCAACATTACACTAAATATTTCGTCAGACTTTGTTTTGCAAGTTGCAAACGACCTACTTTATTTCAGATTTCGCGATTAACAACATCGCGTTATATAATTTACTGTTCACTGTTGAAGCCATATTTCAACGTGATATATGCAACTTAGGAAAGAAGTAGAATAAATAATATGCATATGTCCGTGATTTCGAGCCATGAATACAAAGTTGACATCAAGGTCGTATTTCAACCAGCATGGATAGTTTCCAATTCTACTATGAACAGCATTTGAAAATTCAAATATGTATGCACAAGATGTTCTCATGACATATAAACTTAAATGTTATCTTTGAATTTGTTATTTTAGGTATAAAATTAATTGTATAATTTATGATCCTCGCTGAAATCATGAGAAATATATCCGATTAAATCATACTTGAATCTTAATAAACAAAATATCTCGTACTTACAATTATATCGCGTTAAACCTGTCTTGTAAATACAGTTGAAATTTAAGAAGTTAGACAACTTGTTTCTAATATTGATCCCAAAACGCCCTTCAATCCTCATATTATGCTAAGTGACTTGGCTAACGCCTCGTATTCAACTGCTTGGCAATCGGCATTTTAAGTTAAATATCAGTGCACAACGCGTCTATTCAGGATGTTGCGGTATCAAATTGATTAAAAGAATATATACAAGCTAGTCACCTAACGTCTCCTTGAAGTCGTTCCAGTCGTAAGCAACGCTTTCATCCACATCACTGAAAAATAGCACCAGGAATGTAGCCAAAATTACCGCAATTTTTGCCATTATATATCTGTATATATTTAATATTTGAAACGTTTGTTTGTTAGTATAGCTATAAAGGCGTTTCTCGGAAGTAAGATCGAAACAAAAATGACGTCATACTTCCATGTGACCGAAGCAGAGTAATGTTCTGAGTGCTAGTTTCTTAATCGTTACGAGAAAAGGAAAACATACACCTAGGCTTTTCTCGATAGTGCTATTAAAAACTTTGTACGCACAAGATGTTCGACGTTCGGGCAAGTGTTCGAGAATGGAGAACATATATTAAATTCCAAAGGTGAAAAAATGCGAATTCAACCAATCACTTTTAATCAGATCGCATTTGGTCATTTTTTATCGCAATTATTCCGTAAAGGTATTATTTGACAGTTACAAACCTGATCTTTATAAATGCGAAATAGAACACCTATTGATGTATTAATTAGCGCGCGATAACACCGTCAAAGTTGGATTTCCTGTTTTTGTACACCCTCTAATGTGAGCGGTGTGGGACATAATGTACCTGTAGCAGTGTAGCTATAAACTGAGGCAACTTGTCCATCTCCCCCCCCCCCGCTCCCAGCTCCAAAGTCGGCATATCCAGTTAACGTTATTGGGTCCACCAGTGAAGGTTTCATGTCTGAAAATTTTGACACTCAAGCAGCAGATGCTGAAAGATACAAAACAGATGTTGAGGTGGCCCCCGGCCCTCCCTGAAAGATCCCAGCTCACCTCCTTGTCAGGTCTCTTTTTCTTGACGCTTGGCTCCCGCTACCCCCCCCCCCCCC